CTTCGAACGCGGGGACGATTCCTCCTTTTACTCCCATCCCATTTTGTGCGTAGTAAGGGAGGTGTGGCCCTGGAGGGTACTTTTAAATTTAGTCTGCGTTCCCAGAAAAGCCTGGCGTCTCATGCTCCTTCTCCCTCCCCAGTCATACCATTACCCGAAAGAAGGACTCCGAGAAGGATGGGAGAGTATTATTACCGCACGTCTAAAGTCAAGGGTGAGTTTGTCCTTTGTATTGCCTGAGAAATGCGTTTTTGTTTTCTAGAATAGAGAGGTGCCTGTGAGTTTTCAGGAAATGTAGGGAGACGTGCAAATTGATACCCCACCATTTGGTCCCCCATGGCACCTCACCTCTTGACAATATTCACTGGGTAAGTAACTTGGTAAATACCAAAAACAGTATCGTAAATAGTTCACATCTTCTTGAGCATTCCCTTTTTCTGAGATAACAAGGAAATAAACCAGCAGTTAATGTTAAAGCTTTATTTTAGACTCTGATTTGGTAAGAAGAAAATTAGGTGGAATCACACACTGGGTACCTTTTGCTCTTTAAGGACCTGCTTTTCTTTTCTTTCTCCTTTTTTTTAAGATTTTATTTATTTAGTCATGAGACACAGAGAGAGGCAGAGACACAGGCAGGGGGAGAAGCAGGCTCTCTCCATGCAGGGAGCCTGTCGTGGGACTGGATCCCGGGTCTCCAGGATCATGCCCTGGGCTGACGGCCGCGCTAAACCGCTGAGCCCCCCAGGCTGCGCTCTTTTTCTTTTTTTTTAAAAAAAAGTTATTTATTTATTTATGAGAGAGAGAGAGAGAAAGGCAGAGACACAGGCAGAGGGAGAAGCAGGCTCCCCTTGGGGAGCCCAATGCGGGACTCGATCCCAGGACCCCAGGATCATGACCTGAACCACCCAGGTGCCCCAAGGGCCTGCTTTACAAAGCAAGAGAAGAGTGGAGATGGCTAGCTGATTTTAGTCAGTGTGAGGCTTTCAAAAATGGAAACGTGATAGTAGCAGAAGCTGGTATCAGTAAGAGCTAGGATTTTTCCAGGGAATTCCATCAGCTGAAGTTTGTATTATTGGCCACATCTCTGAAGTTTGGCAGTTGTGTGTTTGGCTTCCTTTTGTGTGAGCTGTGAGAAGCAGTGTAGTGTGATTGAGAGGAGGGGCTGTGGATCCAGACTATCTGGGTTGGAATATTGGCTCTCTCTTCCTGGCTGTCTCAGGTTTGTAATGAATGGTATATGAGTTAATATGTATTAAAGCCCCTTAGAGCGGTCCCATCCATACAGTAAGTGCTTGATAGGTCTTAGTTGTTGTTCATGTGTGTTTTAACTCATTCCTCTCAGTTTCTATACAATGAGGGCATCAGCAATATGTGATCCATGGTTATTGCTGCCTGCATATTAAGAAAATGAGTGAGATGCTCAAACAGTATAGAATAAAAAATTTTTGGAAAGCCTGGATGCCTCAGTTAGTGGGTTAAGCATCTGACTCCTGATTTCAGCTCAGGTCATGGTCTCAGAGTTGTGGGATTAAGCCCTGTGTGGGGCTCCGTACTGGATGTAGAAACTACTAAAGATTATCTTACTCTTCCTCTGCCCCCCTCACCCCCCATCTCTCCCACTCTTTTTTTTTTTCCTTAAATTTTTATTTATTTATGATAGTCACACACAGAGAGAGAGAGAGAGAGAGAGAGAGAGAGAGGCAGAGATACAGGCAGAGGGAGAAGCAGGCTCCATGTACCAGGAGCCCGACATGGGATTCGATCCCGGGTCTCCAGGATCGCGCCCTGGGCCAAAGGCAGGCGCCAAACTGCTGCGCCACCCAGGGATCCCCCCCCATCTCTCCCACTCTTAAAAAAATAATAATAAAAGTGCTTAATCCTGAGTTGCCGTGATTCTACTTCTGGTCTCCGGGGACCACAAATCCCTTGAAATAGTATACCAAAGGGTTATGGTGGGGTTTGCTGGGAAAGTATGTAATTTCATGAGATTATTCAAAGTATGCAGGACCTAAAAGGCTTGGACTCAGTATAGATAAGTAATTATTAACAGGGGGTGATTTTGCTCTCCAGGGGACATTTGGTAATATTTAGAGGCAACTTTGGTTGCCGTAGTGGGGGGACAGTGATACTTGGATCCAATAAGTGGAGGACAAAAATGCTACTAAACATTCTACAATGCATAGGATAGCCCTCCCCACCCTTCTCCCCCCAGCAAAGAATTATCTGGCTCAATATGGTATTAATGCTGAGGATGAGAAACCCTGTCTAACATCAAAAGACTGATACTTGGAGTGATATGTAGAATTATCTTGTACAAACTGAGCAAATCACACTAGACTAGATACTCCATCTAGTGATGGAGTATCATGCACTTAAAAAAACTACGTTGATAAATAATCATGAAAAGAGAAAACATTTGATCTTATGTTAAGCAGTATTCATGTTAGAAGAGTAGTACCCAAGAAGATGTTGTATATAAATCACATTTACTACGTGAGGACATTCTATAAGGATTCTCTCCAAAATGGTGTTTTCATCAGTTTTTTTTTCAAGATTTATTTATTTATTTATTTATTTATTTATTTATTTATTTTTTTTTTTTTTTTTTTTTTTATTTATTTATGATAGACATAGAGAGAGAGAGGCAGAGACACAGGCAGAGGGAGAAGCAGTCTCCATGCAGGGAGCCCGACGCGGGACTTGATCCCGGGACTCCAGGATCGCGCCCTGAGCCAAAGGCAGGCACTAAACTGCTGAGCCACCCAGGGATCCCCTTCATCAGTTTTTTAATGAAGAAGAGAACCAAACATGGTACTGTGTATATCCCGTGCATTTTCTTATTTGGTCTGCAGGTGCTGCTTACCTGCATTTTGTGTTCTTTCAGAGAAGAATCTTGATCATGAAAATTTCTAATTATATTGGTGAGATACAGTTAAGGATGTTAGAACTGGTTCAGGTTAGTTGCTACATTCACATTGATTTCTTTGTTGACTCTCTCACAAGCTCGGTTCTTTAATGACTGGAAGTACCCAGTTCCTGATAGTTCTGTTTTTATTTTTATGGTTTAATTTGGAAGTAGCTTTATTGTGGTGAGGTTTTTTGTTTTTGTTTTTTAGAGAGAGAGAGCATGAGCAGGGGGAGGGAGGGGCAGAGAGAGAGAGAGAATCTTAAGCAGGCTTCAGGCTCACAAGGAAAAAGGAAACAGTGGAATTAAGTTTCTTTTTTTTGTTGGAATTAAGTTTCTTTAACAAATGCGATTTTCAGGGCACCTGGATGGCTCAGTGCTTAAGCATCTGCCTTTGGCTCAGGTCTGATTCCAGGGTCCTAAATCAGGCTTCCCACAGGGAGCCTGCTCCTCCTGCCTATGTCTCTCACGAATATATAAATTAAAAAAACCCAAACAAATATAATTTTTATTATCCTTAGTAATAATGATTAAGGAGTTAATATTAATGATAGGATACTATATTTGAAATTAGGTATACATTTATTTAGATTTTATTCATTTATATATTAGAGAGAGAGGGAGAGAGAATGAGAGCAAGCAGGGGAAGGGGCAGAGGTAGAGAGAGAGAATCTCAAGCAGATTCTGCGATGAGTGTGGAACCCACGCCAGGCTCGATCTCAGGACTCTGAGATCATGACCTGAGCCAAAATTAAGAGTTGACAGCTTAACCAACTGAGCTACCCAAGTGTCCTTGAAATTTGGTATCCTTTTTAAACCCTGGTTGCCTCACTTAGTACTTGACTTTGAATTTTCCCCCCATCAATTAATAGGGATTTTTATAATAAATAATGGCATAGTATGCCATCGTACAATGGACCATCTGCCAACTATTAGATAAATTTAAGTTTCTAGTTTTGGGTCATTATAGAGCATCCTCTGATAATCATCTTCGTGTGTGTATCATGTGTGCTTCCATAGCTGTTTCCTATGGAAGATTTCCTGGAATTGGGATTTGTGTTCATTGTAAGATGCTCAGGTACCTGCAATATGTTGAATATGGTGATAATGATGGAGAGGACACAGCCACCACTTTTAGGTTTCTTATTACTCTAGCACTGATGAAGTCTGAACAAGAATAAATGTATAGCAGAATATGACAAGTCCATTAGAAAAAGTCATCTAGCGTACTTTGAGAGTTTATAGGAATGAATATATATATATATATATATGACTAACACATTGACAGAAAAAATTCCAGAAAACTATGTCACATTAATAGTTCTTATCACTGCACTGTGGCCCCAATTCTCTACTTTTTGCTTAAGAGTGCTTCATAATTGTAACTATTGTGTGGCATTAACTTGGAATTTATAGAGTTATATTTGAAATATATATATATATATTTTATAGATGGGATCATTCTGCATCCTATTTTGTAACCTGATTTTTCTGCTGACCATGTATCTTGAATATGTAATGACTACATAGTATTCCATTACGTGGATGCCCTGCTATATACTTAACTAGTTGGCTTTGCTGGACTTAGAAAGCTGAACACTGCCTGAGCAATTCCATCTACATCCTTTCCAGTTTTCTACCTTGCCCTACTTCTCCCAATCCTGAATTTACAAAGAGGTTCCAATTTGGATGACATGACCCGTTTTCAGCCCTGAAAAGTGGGACAGAGGGAAGAAGATCTGCACAGAGCAGGATATGGGGCCCAGTCCTAGGTCTTGTCATTTATCCCAGGAATGTAGGATCCCTCATGCTGAGATATTTTGGAGGACAGCATGTTCCCCAGGACTTGAGGGAGGGCTCAGTTTTGTCTAGACTCCTCATGTTTGATGCCAATTTGTATGGGGGGTGGGAGGGAGCGATTGGAGGATCAGAGGGAAAGGGAGAGTGTGTGAAGCAGAGAGGGATAAAAGAGGCATCTTAGGGAGTAGGTGGGATACAGAAATGGAAGAAAAAAATTGTTGTATTAATTTAAAACACCTAGAGAGCACCAAGGCACAGCTTGGCTTAAGCCTTTCTTTTTTTTTTTTTTCTCTAGGAGGGGAAACATGAGGAAGATGGACCAATTTTGTTGTTCTAAAAACATGGCCTACGTAAGTTGGTATTTGTTTTCCTGAAATATGATGACTTCATATTTCCTTAGCCATTCCCAGCCATGCTGAGATCAGTAGGTTATCCCGCAGCACACAGGAAGTTTGCTCTGCAGCAGCAAGAGTCTTCAAGAACTTGCAGGCACCCTATGAAATTCTACATTGCTCCTGTCTCGCAGTGCTGTTCTTCGCCTCCTCTTTGTTCACCTTACAATAATCTCCTTCAGTTTCACTGTAATGCGTGTGTGTGTGTGTGTGTGTGTGTGTGTGTGTGTGTGTGTGTGTGATTTCAGGGATCTCTGTCATTCAGGGACGTGGCCATCAGCTTCTCCCAGGAGGAGTGGGAGTGCCTGGACCCTGCTCAGAGGGCTTTGTACAGGGATGTGATGTTGGAGACCTACAGGAACCTGGTTTTACTAGGTAAGACTGTCTCCCCCAATAGTAGTTTGTTCTAAAGATTAATTAACATGATAATAAAATTGATATTGAGCGAGTATAATTAATAATTTAATTTGAATTTTAATGATTTCATTGAAGAACTTAATTTGAAATAATTTAAAACAATAATTTAATAAATTGTTAGTGTCTCTTTTCTGGAATATCAGCTTTCCTTTCAGTGAGTTTCAGGGTCATCTGTTAAGAAATAGCTGAGTTCCTTCTTGTTCCCAAAGGAAATAGTTTGGGATTCATCAGGTTGAAAACGGGCATGTCCACAAAGTGCCTGTGTCTTACCTACCTGTATCTGAACTTTCTCCCTTACACTGGCCCTCTCTGTAACTGCCTCTTTCCTAATGACCACGGGATACAATTAGGACTCTCAGACATTCATTATATGATCATTGTCTAAGAAAACAGCTTTGTATTGTGTTTGATCTCAGAATTACTCTAAATGTTCTGGGTCTGGTTTTTTTTTTCTGACCTACTTGGAAGGAGACAGTGTTCTGAGTTTTTCTATCAAAAGCGCCTCTATGATTTATATATTGATTGAGTCACCCAAATTCATTTAAAATTCCATCTCCTTTAATACACATTCCTTTTGTTTTTTCTTTTTAAATTGTATTTATTTATTCCACAGAGAGAGCAAAAGCAGTGGGAGCAACAGGGATAGAGGGAGAAGCAGACTCCCCGCTAAGCAGGGAGTCTGATGTAGGGCTCAATCCTAGGCGCCAGGATCATGACCTGAGCCAAAGGCAGACACTTAACCAACTGAGCCACCCAGGCGCCCCAACAAACATTCTTTACCTGCTTCATAGTTGAAAGTTTCAGGCCATGAAGTGTGTATATTTCATGAAATGAACTTACTAAGAATGAACCAAAATGTCTAAGGAGACAAAATAAATAACAACAATAAAATGCTAGTTAACTTTGTAGTACTATATGCTAGGCAATGTTGGAAGTGTTTTACATATATTAACTAATTCAATTTTAATATCAACCCTATAAAGTAGGTATTATTATCATCCCAATTTTAGAGATGGGAAAAGTGATGGACAGAGTCTAAAGGGCTTACTTGGGGTCGTATCGCTACAGGATAGCAGAGACCAGGGTTTACATTGGCCACTCTGGCTTGAAGTTTCATGTTTTCAGCTACTGAATTGTACTTCCTCTTAAAGGACGGAGTCTATATGAGTTTAAATTAAATAAGTCCTTTCTCTAACCTTGCTGCTCTCATTCAATCCTCTCACCCTTCTCTGAAGTCTTTTCTCAATATCATTTTGACTTTGAAATTACTACAAATGGGGATGCCTGGGTGGCTCAGAGGTTTAGTGCCTTCCTTCGGCTCAGGGCGTGATCCTGGAGTCCTGGGATCAGGTCCCACATCGGGTTCCCTGCATGGAGCCTGCTTCTCCCTCTGCCTGTGTCTCTGCCTCTCTCTCTCTCTCTCTCTCTGTCTGTCAGCCCAACACCTGGGCTGCCCAAAATAAATAAAATCTTAAAAAAAAAATTTAACCAGGTCTCAACCAAAGTTTTTTGGTATTTTTTTTAGGGGGGAAGGTTGTGTGTATTAAAAAAAAAAATGTTTTTCTACACCATGTGTCATTCATTTCTTTTTCTTTTCTTTTCTTTTTCTTTTTTTTTTCTTTTTTTTTTTTTTTTAGCAGGAATTTCCATCTCTAAGCCAAATGTGATTACCTTATTGGAGCAAGAGAAAGAGCTCTGGGTGGTTGTGAGGAGAGAGACAAGTGGATGGTACCCAGGTGAGTAAGGGAGAAGCCAGCAGAGAGGATCAGGAGGGGTCAGAGAGGGGTCATACCCCTGAGATATGGTTTGGAAAAATTCCTTGAAAGACCCAAGGCCTGTTGGATAAAAATGCCTGAGATCTAAGAAGAAAATAAAGATCACAGCATGGGCTTTCAAAGGAACTCCTATCTTTTGCTAATCCCCTCTAATTTTTATTCCCTATTTCTTCTTTTAGTGAAGTGAGTGTCCTCTTTCTTTCCCAATGTAACCTTTTTTAAAAAAAATAGTTATTTATTTATTAGAGAGAGAGAGCACATGAGTAGGAGGGAGGGGCAGAGGGAGAGAGAGAGAATCCCAAGCAGACTTCCACGCTGAGTGAGGAGTCTGCCGTAGGGCTCCATCTCGTGACCCTGAGACCATGACCTGAGCCAAAATCAAGGGTCAGACACTTAACTGACTGAGCCACCCAGGCGGGCCTCCCCTCCCCTCCCCCATGTTACCTTTTAGCATATATTTTGCATCCAGCTGCTTTCCAATTTTCACATTCAAATTTCTTTTTTTTTTTTTTAAGATTGATTTATTTTTTTAAGAGCAAGGGTAGGGGCAGAGAAAAAGACTGAGAGCGAGAAAGAAAGTCTGCTTAAGGGATCCTTAAGCAGACTCCCCACTGAGCGCAGAGCCCAACACAGGGCTCGATCCCAGGACCTTGAGATCATGACCCGAGCAGAAACTGAGAGCTGGCCACTCAACCAACTGAGCCACCCAGGTGCCCCTGCATTTAAATTTCTGTATGTGTTCCTGTGTCTAAAAAATGTATTCATATACTCAGCCAATATTTATCAAGTGTCCTCTCCAAGCAAAGCACTGCTTGGCTCTGTATATGAAATGAACATGACTGAGGCACAGAAGCGAGGCCATCAGTAGGCTGTCTGAAACTGCTGCTGGCAGAAGCTGCCCCGACACATGTAGCCCTCGTTCTTCCGGTAGCCATCCTTCTGGTCTTGGAAGTAGCCACCATAGGTACCCTGCTTGTGGTTAAACACCTGCTCATTATTTTCCACCAAGCTGCCCAGCTTCTCAGCCAGCTGCAGGACCACGTTCTGTTGGGGAGTGGGCTTGGTGCGGTACATCACCACAGTCTGGTCGGCTGGTCCAGAGAAGCCATCAACTCCTCATGACTGATAGAATCACTGCTCTCATGCACTTGACTTGCAGTTGGCAAGACCTGGGTCAAACAAGCAGATGAGTGAATCAGTACTGTCAGGAATCCTGCTGTACAGACAAGTATATAGGAGCAATGGGGTGAAAATGACAGGCTTGGGTGGTTGGGGAGCATGTCTCAAAGTGGGTGTGCTTGCACGGAGTTGTGAATAGAGGAGTCAGGCCACAAATCTGGGCAACAGCACTCTAGTCTGAGCAGGAGACACACACAGGCTCTCTGAGAGAGAAATGGTCTCTGTGGGAGCAGTAAGAAGGTTAGAGCAGAGGGGCAAAGGGTTGGTGGGAAGGGAAGTCTGGGAGTTAGGCCAGGACCAGATCATACAAGGTTCTGATTGTCACTGTGAAGAATATAGAATGTTTTTCAGGAATTATTTGGAGCCATGTTCTGATCTATGTGGAAAGTTTTCCTCATTTTTTAGTTTTTAAACAAACTAAGTATGACAAGAATACAGAAGACCATATAAAGAATTGCATGATTTTATTTTTGAGATTTTATTTATTTATTCATGAGAGACACACAGAGAGAGAGGCAAGAGACACAGGCAGAGGGAGAAGCAGGCTCCATGCAGGAGCATGACGTGGGACTTGATCCTGGGACTCCAGGATCAGGCCCTGGGCCAAAGGCAGGCGCTAAACCACTGAGCCACCAAGGGATCCTCAAGAATTGCATGATTAAGTATCTTAAGGTACCCACAGACTTGTAACCATAAGGTCATGAGTTAGGATTTTGCCAGCTGTCCTGTAAGCCTGTTGTATGTCTCTTTGCATTTACAAACCTTCTCCTCCCTGCAGGAAAGGTTTTCTCAAGAGCTTTATTGTCCAAGTGAACATCTCCAGTCTGATTTTGTTTTACATATTGTTTTTAAAAGTCTTTTAAGTCCCTCTCTCTTTTAAAGATTTTATTTATTTATTCATGAGAGACAGAGGCAGAGACATAGACAGAGGGAGAAGCAGGCTCCATGTAGGAGTCCAATGTGGGACTCGATCCCAGGACTCCAGGATCATGCCCTGGGCTGAAGGCAGACGCTCAACTGCTGAGCCACCCAGGCATCCCTTAAGTCTCTTTTAAATTAAAAGTTCCTCTTGATTTTTTTGTTAACAGTTCTACCTTGATTAAATTAGATCATTTGTCCTGTAGCTTCACACCATCTGGATTTTGCTAATTGCATCTTGGTGGGATGGAGGAACAGGTTCCTTTTTCTCCTATTTCCTATAAAATGATAGTTGATTAAGAAGCTTAATCAAACTCTTGGGAAATTTTTTTTCTTTTTTTTGTAGGTGATAGTGAGATATTCTTAAGTCCATTGGCATGCGATGTCTGGAATTTTCCTTTTAGTGATATCAGCAGTCACTGACAGGCAGTTACTATGTCCCTTAATTCATTAGAGGTTATAAATTGGTGGATATACTAATTATGTCATTTATTTCTTAGCTGGAATGCCTCTGTAAAAAGAAACTTCACCTTTTACAGATAATATAGAAAATTAAAGATGAATATTCTTTTTTTTAATATTTATTCATTTACTCATGAGAGACACTGAGGCAGAGACATAGGCAGAGGAAGAAGCAGGCTCCATGCAGGGAGCCCGATGTGGGACTCAATCACGGAACTCCAGGAACACACCCTGAGCCAAAGGCAGAAGCTCAACCACTGAGCCACCCAGGCATCCCTAAAGATAAATATTCTTTTCCTTTGTTTACTAATTTTCTAAATCATGAGTTAGTTTCTTACATCTCTTCAATAGTGACCCGTTTTGGGGGCACTTGGGTGGCTCAGTTGGTTAAGTGACTAACGCTTGGTTTCGGCTTAGGTCATGACCTTAGGGTCCTGAGATCAAATCCTTCATCAGGATGGACACTTGGGTTGCTTCCATGTCTTGGCTATTGTACATAGCACTATGGTAAACATAGGGGAGCATATATCTTTTCAAATTAGTATTTTCGTATTCTTTGGGTAAATACCCAGTAGTGGAATTAGTGGATCCTATGGTTAATTCTATTTTTAATTTTTTGAGGAACCTCCATACTGTTTTCCACAGTAGCTGCACCAATTTGTGCATAAGTATGTCTTTGTTCACATCCTTGCCAAATCTTGTTTCTTGTGTTTTTGATTTTGGCCCTGATAACAGGTGTAAGGTGATACCTCATTGTGATTTTGATTTACATGTTCCTGATGATGAGTCACGTTGAGTATCTTTTCATGTGTCTGTTGGCCATCTGTATGTCTTCTTGGGAATAATGTCTATTTCATGTCCTCTGCCCACTTTTTAATTGAATTATTTGTGTTTTTGGTATATTTTGGATATTAACCGCATATCAGATATATCATTTGCAAATATGTTTCTAGGAATTTATTTCTTCTAGGTTTTCCATTTGTTGGCATACAATTTTTCATAGTATTCTTTATAATTCTTTATACTTCTGTAGTATTGGGTGTTAGGTCTCTTCCTTCATTTCTGATTTTATTTATTTGAGTCCTGCCTTTTTTTCTAGATAAGTCTGGCTAAAGGTTTATCAATTTTATTTCAAAGAACCAGCTCCTGGTTTCATTGATCTGTTCTGTTGTTTTTTTAGTCTCTATTTCATTTATTTCTGTTCTAATCTTTATTATTTCCATCTTTCTACTGGCTTTAGGTTTTGTTGGTTCTTCTTTTTCTAGCTCCTTTAGGTTTAAGTAGGTTGTTTATTTGGGAGTTTTCTTATTTCCTGAGGAAGGCCTGTGTTGCTATAATCTTCCCTCCTAGAACAACTTTTGCTGCATCCCAAAGATTTTGGACCATTGTGTTTTCATTTTTCATTTGTCTCCATGTATTTTTTGATTTCCTTTTTGATTTCTTGGTTGACCCATTCATTGTTTAGTAGCATGTGGTTTAGCATCCATGTATTTGTGTTTTTTCCAGATTTTTTCTTGCACTTGATTTCTAGTTTTATACTGTTGCAGTTGGAAAAGATGCATGATATAATTTTAGTTTTTTTTGTGTTGAGACATATTTTGTGGCCTAACATGTGATCTGTTCTGGAGAATGTTCCATATGCCCTTGAAAAGAATGTGTATTCTGCTATTTTTGGATGGAATGTTCTGGATATATCTATTAGGTCCATCTGGTTCAATATGTCATTCAAAGCCACTGTTTCCATGTTGATTTTCTTCCTGATTGATCTATCCATTGAGATAAGGGGTATTAAAGTCCCCTACTGTTATTGTATTACTGTTAGTTTCTTCCTTTATGTCTGTTAATAGTGGCTATATGTATTTAGGTGCTCCCATGTTGGGTGCATAAATATATACAATTGTTATATCTTGTTGTTGAATTGTTCCCTTTCTCTGTTATGTAGTGTCATTCTTTATTTCTTGTTACAGTCTTTATGTTAAAGTGTATTTTGTCCAATATATAGTATTGCTACCATAGCGTTCTTTTCACTTCCATTAGCATGGTAGATATTTTTCCATTGTTTCACTTTGTCTGCATGTGTCTTTTTTTTAATGTTTGTAAACTTATTTTTTTTTAAGATTTTTACTTATTCATGAGAGATAGATAGAGAGAGAGAGGCAGAGACACAGGCAGAGGGAGAAGCAGGCTCCCCCACGTGGGACTTGATCCTGGGTCTCCAGGGTCAGGCCCTGGGCTGAAGGCAGCGCTAAACCGCTGAGCTTACCCAGGCTGCACTGCATGTGTCTTTATACCTGATGTGAGGTCTTGCTTTTTTAATGCATTCAGTCATTGTAGTCTTCTGATAGGAGCATTTTGTCCATTTACATTTAAAATAATTATTGATGGGTATGTACTTAGGTCCA